TGGTTAATAGAATGATGCTTATATGTTTAACGGTTTAGGTTGTGTATGGTGGTACTTCTCAAGCTCGTACTGTTATTATAGAAAATGAGTTTTACTTACCAAAGGATCATATGAATGGAGTCCGTGGAGAAACCAAACAGGACATAATTAAGTTTGATGTCATCCTCACGTCTTATGATATAATTAACGTAGACACAGCAATCCTAAAACCAATCAAGTGGAAATGCTTGGTATAGTTATTTCTTATTATATTGATACTATACGTTTCATGCCTTTCTTAAAATCTCATATGTTTCTTATTGTTGTTTTTTTCTTGGTTAGCTTATTGATGAAGACTATCGGTTCATTCATGAGTATCCGAAGCTGTTCTATTTGCTGAAGCAGTATACGTGTGAGCATCACGTTCTTTTAACAGGAAGACCACTTCAGGTTCGTTTAGTTTGGTTATCTTGTGTGCATGCATATACACTTTTTCAGCAATAAGCTTTTGATATATATATATTTAGTGCCATTATTTCGGAAAATATGGTTACCTCTTTAAGCTCTTTCTTGTATTATTACTATTAGTTGATAAATTCTGAGCAACAAGCTGAGCAACTCAGTGCTCTTGGAGAGAGGAAGAGAAACCATAAGCAGGTATACTCTTTTTTATTCAACCATTCAAAATTATATGCATGTAGCAAAAGGTTATATTGATATGTCATTACATCTTTTTCTGTCTGATGTGCATACATTTGTTTCATGTCTCACTTCATTATTGAATTGCTTAGAGAGCTCATATCTTTTAGATAAGGTGTGTTTTCATTCCTCTTTTTGTTAATTTTACTAGATTGAAGAAGCAGACGAACCAACTAATGGTGAAGCAGCTAGACAGGGAATTAACAAGAGGAGTACAAGGCCTCACCGTTCATAATTATGTTTCCAAATAATGTTTCAGAGATTCCCAATTAAGTTGCTTTTTCTTCTTCTTTTTGTTGTAAGGTTACTCGAGGCCAAGAACTTTCATACAAGGCCAAGGGAATTTTCTGAGGGTGTTAGGTTTTGGCAACAGCCAAAGGAGGACTTTCTTACATACATTGATGAGGTATATCTTATTTGGGTCTAAGATTTATAGGATTCTTTAAAAAAAAAAGATTTATTGGATTATAAACATTTTTAAATTGAATTAATATTAAAAGTTTAGAGAATTGGGGGCCATGCAATCTATGTATAATAGCTCTATAAAATTTGGGGTTTATTCAAGAACCGGCCTTGGTTTTTGCACAAGTTTGTGTCTTCCCTCAGTTGACATATAGTTTCCACAATTTTCATCTGATAAATAAATTGCAGGTATGGAGTTGGAAACTATGATTGGAAAGAGTTTATTCATCCTTTAAACCAGAAGACCTATGATGAAATAAAAAAGTAAGTACTTAAGCCATTGATAACATATGACTTATTCTATGCAAAGATATAGATATGTTTTCATCAGCTACTTGTCTAATTCATTGTTTCACAGATATGGAATATTTTTCTTGAAGCACATCATCACAGACACTGAAGATACTAACCCTCCAACCTTCTCAGGTAATTAATAACTTATCTGCTCATTTTCTTTTTGCCATTTTTTAGATATTTCTATTGCTTTTTCTGCTATCTTAGTAAATGTATTATTGCAATGATCTCTGTAGACATGGTCCCCAAGAATGTACTAAGCCGTGACAAAATACTTGCCAGAATTACAGTTATGAAGCTACTAAAAGAGAAGGTAACCCTTTAATCTCTTAGAATATCTAAGTTGTCATCTTCTAGAACCAATGACACAGTTTTGCTTCATGTAGGTGAAACTTATAGAAAACCATCCAAGCAAAGCTGTTTTCCCTGACTACATTATTGAAAGCGTCCATGCATTGAAAAAAGAAAGTATTTGGAACAAGGAACATGACAAGTTACTATTGCGTGCTGTTTCCAAGTAAGAAACTAAAAGAGCCCTTGCGAAGAGAATCCTTACCTTAAATACACTTTTATCATATGTTATTTCCTTTTCTTGATAAATGTTAGGCACGGATTTGGCAAATGGATAGACATTGTTAATGACAGAGAGTTCGACTTGGAACACGTCATCTGCAAAGTACGTAAGATCCCTATTGAAAATTTGGTTCGTACTGGTCTAGATCAGAAAGATCCGAAGAGACAACTTGATAACTTTGTGAGAAAACGATTTGCAATTCTTGAGAAGGCAATGAGTGATGAGTGTGCTGAAGACTACTACGATGTAAGTATCTTTTAGTGCTGTTTTTATCCTTCACATGCTGCTGTAGCATTGACTAATCCACAATGTATCTTTTGTGATCAGTCTGGGAAAAGAACTGATAGTCCCTTACAGGATATTGCCATTGCGGACATAAGGATGAAGCTAAGTGCTATTTGAAGATATGGTGGTGGTTGAGAGAAAGCTGCAGAAGAACATAGAACCAGAACATAGCTGATATGATTTGGAGTTATTGTTACTTTTATTAATTATTTGAGAGTTGACTGGATTTTTATTTGGTGGATTGTTATTTTTCTTAACTATTATTTGGGATTTGATTGAATATTTACTTTGCTTATATTTATCTTCCAACCAAATATTTTCCAAAGTAAAGTAAAATTATAATATATAGTATAAGCGGAAGTAAGACCATGATTAATCCGAAGTTCTTAGGATGTGGTTCTTATCGGAATTTAAGAAACTGTTTCTTAACTTTTAATTAAAAACAGAGCTAAGAAACGGTTTTTAAATTCCTCATTTAAGAACCGCTTCTTAACTTTTTTAGTGAAAAGTTAAGAAAAAATTTCTTAACTTCCGATAAAACATTCATCCTAAGAATCCCAGATTAATCATATTCTAAGGTTATGATATATTGATCAGATTATTTTCACTGAAGCTACTTTACTTGATCAAATAAGCTGCACATGCTTGAAAAGAACTCAAATTTAGTAGCCTCAAGCATTTGAGCTCATAGTAAAAGTTGATTGGTTTCATCCATACATGCAATTTATCTTCATTTAGTAAACCAAAAAAAAATTGCCTACTTATGAGATCTCTCAAAACTCAAGGCACACATATCTTTACATGTTTGAACTATTGATTCGATTTTTTCTTGAGATTTTAAGATTCCCTCCCTGATGATCACCATATGAATTTGTTCACATTATTTTGATAGTCTTCAATTTGGGATCCTTGGATTCAGATGAAAGACATCGTTATATATCATTACCGAATATACATATTAGTAATACGCACTTACATACAAACTAAAGGTATAATAACGTTCTGATCATAATCATATCAACAAACAAAAATATAAATTAATAGAAAAGGAGAAAAAGAGAAAAAGAGAGGAGTAGCAGAAAACAAGGAAGCTGGTGGGAAAGAGGAGACAAAAGAGAAATGCTTTTACTCCACGCCTTGCTCCAGCTTCCAAACATATACCAACTTCTCCACGATCCTTTCCCACTTTACACGGTGTATACATACACTCACTGTGAAGAAGTTTACTCTTTTTATAGAGTAGTAAAAAAAAAAAGAGAGAATATTTACCAATGTTAGAAATATAAAAGTTTACCACACATTTTCTTTGATAAACTCAGAATAAGATAGAACTAATATAACCATAATTAGTAAGGATTGGGTAATTGTAAAGATGCATATTGAAGCTTCATGGATTCCAAGTTGAGTCATTTACATAGAGTATTACAGCTGCATAAATGCATGCATACACGTCTTATAACATGTACGCATATAAGTTCAATACATAGGTATATAAATAAGTTTCAAATTAAGGTATATACAGCAAGGGGACAAGCCAGACTGTGATGCTCCTCATTTAAGATCCCTTCTTACAAATCGGGAATTTTAATTAATCAAAGAAAATCATATCAATTATTGATTAGCTTTCTTTTCTCTTTCAACTGTTTTGGGTTTTTGGTCGGTTGGTTAAGAGTTTTCCCACCGATTAAGGTTCGGCCCTAAGTTTCCCCGCAATGGCGTATAAACAATTAAATTGAAAGATCCAAAGTGAATTGTGTACGAACTGCTTTTTATCGTAAACAAAAAAAAAATCTTAGAAAATAGAGAAAAACAAGAATTTTAGTTTAAAAAAAAAATAATAATAATTCTCAAAATTACTGAATGAGATACTGCTCATTTTCATGTGAATGCAGTCTTGAGCGCAGAAATACATCTGAAACAATCTATAAGCTGTAATGAGGATAACTTTGTTACTTTATATCTGTAGGAATAGTGTAGATGTTTGACCTTTTATGTAATAACTCCATAATAAAAAGGTCTTAGGGAAGGATAGCATTCCCGTGATGGAGGCCGTAGGGTTTGTATGATTGTGTAAAGTCTTTTCATTTCACCTTACCTTAGGTTGTGCGAGACAGATCATACATAGCTTACACTTCTAATATATTTATAGCAATTTACCAATCAATTATATGTGCATTACAACTATATACCAGACTTTCAAAACTAACACAAAATTAGTGTTGAAGTATGTTTCTTTCATTAAATCTTGGGTTAGTGGATTTGGAGGTGAATTAAAGAAGAAATTAGGGTATGTTATATTAATAAATAAATAAAAAAGAATTAGAAAATAAAATTTAACAACTCTTCTTAAATGATGTGAACCTAATTTAAAGCCTACTCCAAAAGCACATTTAGGCTTTTGATTTTTGTATATCCCAATAGCATAAACTATACAAAACGGAATTATCTTTACAATCATTCGCATTTGGATTTAAATAACCAAATGATTATAAACACCACCAATAGTAAGATAAAGATAGTTAGTGTTGAAACTAAACATCCGCATGCATAGAGCACTTTGATGAAAATTTGATTATTAATTATTTAAAACCCTCGAAACTATCTGAAGAGACACATAGAATGGCTCCTTGGCATATGGTTAAGCCCCTTTAATCTATCTTCTCATATATATAAGCATATGTTACACATCTTATTTCATGCACACACACCCACATTGTATTCAACTCTTACACACGCAAGCAATTGTGTTAATGGCAACACATATCGATATAATCCAAAAGCTTAATGTATATCCAAGATCTCAAAACCAAGACCAGAAGAAATTAATCACTCTCTCTCACTTAGACCGTCAATGTCCTTTACTCATGTACTTGATTTTCTTCTACAAGAAGACCACAACTCGTGACTTTAACTCTGTCTTTTCCGAGCTGAAACTCGGGCTGGAAGAGACTATGTCTGTTTGGTATCCAGCCGCCGGCAGGTTGGGTTTGGATGGAGGTGGCTGCAAGCTCAACCTCCGGTGTAATGGGGCCGGTGCAGTCATGGTGGAGGCGGTGGCGACAGGTGTCAAGTTGTCAGAGCTTGGTGACTTGACTCAGTACAATGAGTTTTATGAGACTTTGGTTTACAAGCCTTCCTTTGATGGTGATTTCTCTGCTATGCCTCTTGTTGTTGGTCAAGTAAGTTTATCATAAACACTATACATCAATGTTTTTTTGCCTTATGTAGTATTTTATGTGTAATAGATCAATGTTCTAATCAATATGATTCGTGGCCAATAAGAATATACCTAGACACAAACATTTCATTTGCTTATAATAAAAAAGTTGTGAGATGAAAGTCGAGTTATAACGTACTTAGAACGGGTTATATATAAGCAAATTCAATTTATTTTTGAAATTTTTTGGATGTTTTCTTGATTTGTGTAGGCCAAGTTAATATTACCCCATAAATAGTAAACTGTCTATTTTTTTAGTTTATTATTAGTAACAACAAAAACCATATTAAAGGATTTATTACTCCCTATTCACTATTTGCTGATTATTGACGTATAATATATGTAGGTGACAAGATTTGCATGTGGAGGTTACTCAATTGGAATAGGTACAAGTCATTCACTATTTGATGGCATCTCCGCTTACGAATTCCTTCATGCGTGGGCTTACAACTCTCACATTCACGACAAATCCAATGGTAAGATTACTAATTATAAAAAGGATAATTTGGTCGTCAAACCGGTTCATGATCGAGGAAATCTACTGGTTAACGGGGATTCGAACCGGAGCCTCGGAGTAACCAAGGCTGCAGCCATTTATCATCTGTACCAGCTGATCAAACAAGCCATGATGTCCCATCAGGGACAAAACCATAGTTTCGAGTTAGCGGACTCTAGTTTTGTGATCAAAACATTCGACCTTAGTGGTGAAGCAATAGAGACCATGATGAAGAAATCACTAGAAGGGTTCTCGTGCTCCTCCTTTGAGTTTCTTGCTGCTCATTTGTGGAAGGTAAAATGAATAAAAACGTATTTAAAAACTTACTGTTTTCACTAAATTTATTTTTATTAGGAAGATTATTACTCCCTCCATTTCACTTATAGTTGTCGTTTTGGGTTTTTCACATAGATTAAAAAATATTTAATTTTGCATATTCTCTAAAAAAAAAAGAGTATTTGCACTCCATACACACACTAAACCTCATAATTCACTCTATACCCTATTTCTTCCTTTATCTCTCCTCCCCACACATTACTATTTTCCTCACCAAAAATGGCAAATCCCTAATTTCCTATTTTCTTATGGATTTCTACCCAATTCACTCTAGATTTTACACTAAAATTATAAAAGGATATTTATTTTGAAACGAAAAATTTACTCTAAAACGACATATAAATTGAAACAGAAGGAGCAATAAGTAGGTGTATTTGGGTTTATAATTTCGTTGTCACAATAGTGTGCTTTTTCAAATGAAACCACCATTTTAAATGTCTTCCCGTAATCTTTATTTGTGAATATAAACCTAAAATTAAAATTATGAACTTCACTTATGTTTTGGGTTTGCGTTTAAAATTTGTCAAAACATGTTTTGAAAAAAAATATATCCTAGTTAAAAAAATAATATCTTGAAAACACTGAATAATATTTGAAATGTAAACACAAATACAATCTTTGTATCTGAAGTAATCAACGACATTAATATAGACATTAATATTAAGTTATTAACCGCACTTTATATACATGCAGGCAAGAACAAGAGCTTTAAGGTTGAGGAGAGACGCAATGGTGTGTTTACAATTCGCTGTGGACATAAGGAAGAGGACAGTGCCACCGCTGCCAGAAGGATATTCCGGCAACGCCTACGTGCTTGCCTCCGTAGCATCAACCGCCGGAGAACTACTCGAAGAGCTAACACTCGAGTCAATAGTTAACAAGATTAGAGAAGCCAAGAAGTCCATTGACCAAGACTACATCAATGCATACATGGAAGCTCTTGGAAGTGGTGAGCAAAGAAATGACGGTAATCTCCCTCCTATCAAAGAACTAACCCTAATCTCCGACTGGTCAAAAATGCCATTTCACAACGTTGGCTTTGGCAACGGCGGTGAGCCGGCGGATTACGTGGCACCACTGTGTCCTCCGGTGCCACAAGTTGCTTACTTCATGAAGAACCCTAATGATGCTAAAGGAGTTATTGTGAGGATTGGTTTGGACCCACAAGACGTTAGTGATTTTTCAAATCATTTCCTTGGTTTTTAGTAGGTTGATGTGATAATTAATCAGTAGAATCTTTGTTAATTACTACTTTGTGCTAATATATATATGATGATGATGGCTCCTCTATATATGCATGCGTGTGCGGTAAAGACACTTTGTTGTAATTGGGTTATGATGGATTTATAATGACATCTCTATGCTTTGTGTTTTTGTCGTTATCACTTTAATTTCTGGAATACTTTTATATACCTTCCGGAATTTCTGGATATAAATATAAAGTTGTGTTATCTTTGTATGCTTTTTTTTTCTTTAGGTCCTACTAAGCCAGGTTTTGGCCATATATGAGTTCAATTTACAATGCACATGGTTAAGATAGGACTCATGTCAAAGAATGTTCATGTACTAGTTACAATTTATAACTACATTTCCTACATGAAACACTAATCTACTCTTCTGTTTGTACTTTCAAGTTTTGATGCATGAGTTTAGCTCTACTTCATAGATAAGACCACTCTTTAACTGTCATGGGCTAAGAGTATGGTTAGAGCATCTGCATCAAGGGTTTTAAAGAGGGGGTCACACAAATCCAAAAAAAATTAATATATTAATTTGATTTTTATGAATCCGCGTCACGTGCGTTCATTGGGATGAACCCGTATCAACACTATTCGTGGGCCCTATTGATACGTGGTGGTCCGCGATTGGTTGGTTGATTATTATTAATATTTAAAAAATCAAACGAAAAAAAAAATAATAAAAGGATTTCAGAAATCGAGAATAGAGAGTTTTACTGATGTGCATGCTCTTAACCTCAGATTCTTAGGATGAGATTCTTAGCAGAAATTAAGAAACTATTTTTCAACTTTTAACTAAAAAAACTAAGAATCGGTTTTTTTAAAAAAGAAAGACTTTAAAAATCGATTATTAGCTTTTTCAGTTAAAAGTTAATAAATATTTTTTTTAACTTTCGCTAAGAACTCCGGGCTAAAGAACCTCGGGCTAATCATTTTCTAAGGCCGATAAAACTCATGCTTGTGGCACCAAATTATATTTTACATATTAGAAGGGTAGCAAAATATTAAAAGCTCATTGTGGTACAGTAGTTCAATTCAGTTTCCTACTTGACAATAATTTTTTATTGATGGGGTTAATGTTGTTGGGCTTTTAGCGGCAAAACATGCTGGACCGGGCCTGCTTAAGGGTAACACCAAGAGATTGCCATCATACTAACATAAGTTGCAAAGAGGGCTTAGAGTTTCTTTACAAAGAGAACAAGGAAACAACAAAAAAAGAAAAGTGGACAGAACCAAAAGATAATACTAATTGATTGTGTCTGAATAAAACACTTTTACTCATGTTAACAAAGTACAATAAAAAAACACAAGCAGATTCTCATATGCATGTTCTGAGTGAACTATTATGCCATCCAAACCCCAAATCTCCTTCAAAGAACTCAGTCTGGCTCTGCACCTGTTAAATTGAAAGTAAATAAATCATCAAATCTACTATTGCAAAAAAATGGGAAAAGCAAATGGTTTATACCTTTGGCATCATGGAGTTGACTATATCATCCAAGGAACCAGCATCTGAAGGCATTGAACCATTCTCCACCTTCTGTTGTCCCATAAATAAACTTAAGTTGTTTACAGTCCCCTGCCTCATCTGTGATGGATCAGAAAAGTCTGCTTGTGCAGCATTTGAGGATCCAAAATCCATGTTTCTGCAGAAAGATGTTTGATTTGTTGTATTCATGTTTGAGATAACATCACTCTGTGGAGTGTTGGCTGGCAATAGAGCGTTTGGCCAATCTTCAAGACGCTTGTTGATCTCGAAGTGAGGCGAAAGCCCCGGGTTTAAGGATGGATATGATGACTGCTGGAGAACCAACTGATTATTAGGAGCAACCATTAGAGAGCTTTGTTGTGAACTAAAGCTAGGAAAAGCCTTGTTGTTGTTGTTATTATGAAGATCATCTAATGGTGGTATTGGCATTCCCTGAAGTATGTAACCTCCATCATTGTGGTTACGAGGAAGCGATGATGACACATGTGGGAACATTAGGCGACCAAGAGGATAATGCCTCATGGTTGCAACTCCACCTTGGAACTGAGGTATCTGTTGTTGGTGGTGGAAGCCGCCAAGCGCGTTGAGAGAACTCATTTGCATGATATGTGAGTCTATAGCCGCCATGTTAGCTTGTTGGTTAGCTTCATTAGTAATTTTCTTCAACGCGGAACGAAACTTCTGTAACCAGCAGACAATGTAAGCTGTGTTAAATGGAAACCTTACTAACAAATAAGAAGAATCATAGTGTCTCTTTGCTCTATAATATATGATGTTTTGACTCAATGCACACATATTAAAACATTTGCATTTTCTTAATACAATCACTAAAAATATAATTTAAAATCAATTTACTTAATTAAAAATAAACTAGTAAAAACACAATTGTCTATATAGTTCTTTATAATGTTAAAGTTACCTAAATAATTGAAAACATATCCTAAAGCATCATATATATGTATATTGAAATGGAGGGAGTAAGCTCTATATGTCACACATACCTGAAGGTGGCTAGCAACATTCTCTCTAGTGAGCTTATCAACATTCATCAGCTCAAGAATCTTTTTCGGTTGAGCTTCTGCATCATTTCAACTTTCAAATCAGAAAATGATTACACAAAGAAACTAACTAAGATAAAGATCAAGAAAACATTACTCTCAACACCCAAATGATCAACAGCTGCTAAGAACTTATTATGCAGCTCACGAGTCCAAAGAACACGTGGCTTCTTCTGAGCCGTTGGATCATCATTCTCATTCCCTCTTTCTTCTTCATCTTCTCCTTCCACCTCTTCATACTGATCTTTACGTTTTCTATTTGCCTTCACACCGTTCTGATCAGATTCACTATTTGTCACAATACTCTTCATCTTCTTGAACTTACTCTTCCTCACCACATGTTGCCATATGTTCTTGAGCTCCTCAATACGCACCGGTTTAAGCAGATAGTCACATGCACCATGCTTGACTCCTTTCATCACATACTTTGGATCACTATGCGCAGATAACACTGTAAACAAAGAATCAAATCATCATCACGTCAAAAAGATCAATACTGAAACTTAAAACACGAGGCAGGGTGGGATTGATTGTTTATACTTATGACAGGTAAGTCCATTTCAAGACCAACGAGTTCAAGAAGCTTGAAACCATCCATGTCTGGCATGTCTACATCGCTGATAACGAGATCAAACTTGTTCTTGTTCTCTCTTAACAGCTCTAGTGCTGTCTGTGCACTGTCCGTTGTTGTAACTGCACATGTAATTCACCCCCCAAAGTAATTAGCTTTGTGTTATTTTAATTTCCCCAAAAAAAAGTCTCTGTTTTTAAAAACAGAGCAAGAGACAGTTTCAAAAGTCTCTGTTTTTAAAAACAGAACATAAATTTACCCCCAAAAGTCTCTGTTTTTGTAACTGCACATAAATTTATCCCCAAAAGTAATTAGCTTTGTGATAATTTAATTTCTCCAAAAAAAAGTCTCTGTTTTTTAAAACAGAGCAAAAGACAGTTTCAAGAGTCTCTGTTTTTTAAAACAGAGCAAGAGACAGTTTCAAGACCAACTAACTCAAAAGATCTAAAGAAAGAACCAAATGAGGTTTATGAGACATGTGAAGCTAAGTAAAAGTCTGAAACTTGGATTGTTTTTTTTTTGCATATGCAGAGAATAATTAATACAACTTTAAATTGTGAATCTAACTAGATCTTTAATAACATATATCAAATCAAAATCTAGAAAAGCATTTCTCAAGAAAACAATCTATATGACTATATGAGAGAGAGAAGGGAAGGGACCATGGTATTGGCAGCGATGAAGCAGAGTCTCTAGAATACGGAGACAAGTTTGGTCATCGTCAACGGCAAGAACTCTCATGCCAACAGGAAACTGGTCCACTGCTTCAAAGTCTTGTTCCACAGTCATCTTCTTCAGAGATTTTCAACAAAAAAAAAAACAAGAACTAACGATAGAAACAAATATGATTATTGGTAGTAGATTATATAAAGATCCAATGAATGGGTCTGTAAAAGAGATATTGATTTAGGGAAAAAAGTTTATGAAAGAGTAATTTTGTTGGCCTCTGACAAGAAAGGAAGAAAAGCAAAAGAGAATCTAAGCTATATATGGTTAACTCAAAACTCTCTGTCTGTGATAAGTCTTCAAGACTGGCCAATTAAATCTCATTTAAGGAATTTTCTTCTTTTTTATAAAAAAATAATATTTTCTTTTTCTTTTTTCTTACCACTAAAAAACAAAACATTTTCGGACAAGAATCTGGTTTAAAATTCAGTGAAACGATCGATCATTTGAGCGTGAGAGTCACGCGCCTCAAGGAGCGGAGTTTTGTCATTGGGTTTGGTTGGCTTCTTTTGACTGTCTAGGAACTTGTCGGTTCAATTTTAACCAAGAATCGGTTCGGTTTATATACTTGTCAATTATAATTGTAGAATATGAGGATGGTTGAACTCAGACTTATAATTATTTCGTTGAGTTCTCACCTTTTTTTTTTAATTGAATTATGTATAGAAAAGTGGAGGATGAGGAGGAAGAGAGGCGTGTCTCAAACCAGAATCATCATCGGAATATTCCGGTTTAACTAAAATTATTGATGTTTTTAGTTGGATAATGATGTAAATTACTAAGGGAATAAATTTTTTTAAGAAGGAAAATAAAGAAAAAAATGGATAGAAATAAGGAAGTGTTTATGTATATGATTCTGTATATCATGTAATTAAGATTTGAGATATGTTTCAGATATTGTACAGAGTATTGAAGCCAAGAAATATATATTTTTAGATATTGTATAAATGAAACTTTCCTAAATATATGTCTTCCGATTTAATTGACTGTCAAAATCGACTGTGTGACAAACGGATTTATCATGGCAATTATTTGCAAACTATAGTAATCTAAAGTTAAAAGTTAAAATAAAATAATAACTGAGAAAAGACAGGCTTTAAGGAGAGCATGGTGAAAGTTGGGAAGTGCGAGACACGCATGAGCGTACTTCATGGCTTTTTCCTCTTTCGTGCAGTTTCAGAAAGATTCAGGAAAAATACGTATCCATGATAAACAACTAATATTGGCTAGTGCCGATGATATTTTAAACACAAGTACATTATTTTTATTTTTTTGAAAACTGATTGAAAGTACATTGTTACTTGAAAATAGTTATAAAAATATTTAGAAGGAGAAGAAAAGTATGATTAGAAAGATGTTTATAATTTAGCAGATTCCGTGTAACGTTGAAAGGACTTGAAGTTAATGTAATAGCTAGATTAAGCACGATATTATCACCGCCCATTTGTATCATATTGACTTAATTAAAGTTATAATTAAAAAAATTATTAGACAGAAACTATAAGTTGAGTAGCGATGAGAAAAACGATAAATATCTTAGAATAAAAACTAAGACCTTGAAATTTGGGTCCCATCCACATTCTCAGACTACAAACAAAAGCTTGATGAATGCAAAATAAGATCCCAATGATCTAATAGACTTTGTGTATTAATATTGTATATACATCATAACAATCATATAATGATTTAATAGACTGTGTATTAATATTATATATATCATAACAATCATATTGTATGCTTTCTTGGATTGGTCACCTACCGTGTTCGTTTCTGTACCTCTCGTTTCCTATCTTCTATATTAAAAGAGAAGTACCATTTAAATCTACTACACAAAAGTCATTTTGGACCATTTCATTAATATAACATATTTGATTATTTATATTAATCAATCAAATAAATCAAATTTGACTATAAATTTCTATTTTAATTTCATTTATAATAAAATCTGTTGAGAAAATATCTAACAGAATCTTACTAAGAAGTTTAAATATTTTTATAAAATATATATTATTTAATTTCGTGATTAATATATACATACATATATGTATATATATATATATTAATGTTAATTAAAGATAAAAATTGGTATATTTTATAATTTAATGATATTATATCTTATACTAAAATAAAAATGCTATGTGAAATGAATATAAAAATATATTAAATTGGTAAATAAAAATATTTATTTTAAAAGTTTCTTTTATTCACTGTTAAAACATATTAATTTTTTTGAATCATGTAATATTTTTATACAAAAATGTTAACATATATTTTTGTAACTCACAACAAATACATTATCTAAAAAATATATATGATTTTTTTAAAAAATATTTACAACAATATATTATATAAAATAATTAAAATAATAAAATTATATAGTTATACAATATATAACAATAAAATGTAAATCATATATTTAAAAGTTTTGTTATATTTTTATAAAATGAAAAAATTACCCGCACGGATGTGCGGGTTCAAAATCTAGTTATATTATAAAGTAGTCTACCTCAGAAAACGAATTTTCTTTTGGCTTACATTAACAACATAACATTGTGATCATTGTCTAATGTCTATTCTGTATATGCAATGTAAAATGATCTAATACTTCATTTATGTAACGTTCTGCTGTCCAAGTAATAACAAAATCCAAGGATACCAAAAATGAAAACTACAAACTTTAAACTCCTCTAGTTAAAAAAGAAAAAAAAAAACTCCTCTAGTTTATCAAAAACTCAGAAATTCTCACATATGATCAAAATTAATAATATCAGAGATCTTATTTATGGAAAAAAACTCTGATAAAACTGCTATTAACGAGTGACAAGGTTTGGTAACCATAGAATAAAGGAAAACATATTCAAGATTTTACTTTTTCAAAGAAAATCAACATATGTCCGATGCAATGCATTGGAAAATAAAAGACAACTTTCTAATACAAATTATTATCATTAATAGTTCCCCTAGTTTTTTTTTCTCTTCTTCTAAAGTGGCAAAAGAGAGATTAAAGAAATATGTTTTCTAGAAGATCCATGTTATGCACCAAATCTGTCAAGATTCTACAACTTAGTTATTGGAATGCACTTGTCATTAGCTACTCTCATTGGCTATGGCTTATAATATTATAAACATAATATTCACATTATAAAATGATAGAGAAGATGTTATAACAGCAACACTTTGGTGTACTGTTTAGTTAAAATGAAGAAAAAAAATAAGATTCTGAAAAAATATAATGACAAAAGAGAGCAAACAACTAATAATAAACAGCGGGAAAATCAAAATAAGTCTAAGTTGAGGTAATCTTGTCTCCCACAAGGGAACCTAAGTAGTCACTAATATGCTTCGTGTTTGGTTGCTTCCTACTCATTTCCTATATCACTCTCAATCATATATTTAAGGAAAACTATGAATGATTTTTTTCTATTTATTGTCAACTCTAGAACATCATATCATAATGTTTACTATCCATACGCAATATAGTACACAGTAATCATTATCAAGTAATAATAAAACAGCTAGCTGTGAACAATGGACGGTGATAAACAGGATTAGTTCATCATGAACCATTTATTCATCTCAATTTATGGAAAATGTATTGACAGCATGTCGTTGACTTAGTAGTAGGTCCCCGTGTTGGTAAAAAAGAAAACAAGGTAATCCTACTTAGCTATTATGTGAATCTATTAACACAACTAACATCACTGTTCTCATTGTAATAAAGGTAACAAATTTTAACTGTACACCTAGTAACATTGTCATGATCAACTTTATATAGTATTTTATATGATTTATTCCATCTGAAACATTGTATAAACTGAGAACATAGTAATAAAACAGCTAATCTGTGAACAATGGACGGTGAGAAACAGGATTAGTTCATCATGAACCTTTTTTTTTCATTTCAATTGATGGAAAATGTATTTGATAGCATGTCGTTGACTTAGTTGTAGGTCCTCTTGATGGTAAATAACAAGGAGTAATCCTACTTAGGCCATGTTCAATGCAGGTATTTAAGGAAGGGAGTGCTTAAGAAAAATTAGTTAAATAGTCGATGGAGTCCACAAAATTTAAGCAACCATTGCTTCTGAAGCCTAAACAAGCGCTGGTGGTTACACTATTTTATGGCCTCCACTAATACATGATGACCCGCAATTGGTGGACTATGAAATTTTTGACTTTTTTTTTTAATCACAGAAAAGAAAAATTGAAAAAAAAATATATATCAAATAAGCAACTTCCTAAGCCTATGGGTTAATCATGCTCTTAGCTAGTATGTGGAGCTATTTACACTACCATAATTGTTCTGTAGTAAAGGCTAACAACAAAGTACCAATTTTTACTGTAACGGTTAGTAACATTGTCATGATCAACTTTATTCCATCTTAAACATTGTATAAACCGATCACACTATAATCAAAAGATGTGGAAAAATTATTTTGCGATGAATGAATTTAGCTTTCTCAACCATTGAATAAGCTCAATCCTATCTTTATTCATCATATATTCATGCAAGAAAAAGCAAAGCTCCGAATCTAGCCCTCTTACTCGCAAAAACTCCTTAACCGCTGCCTGAAAATCATACTTCAAACTCCTGCAAAAAAAAAAAAAAAAAAAATCACAAGTTTCACTAGCTGCATTTAACTAAAGCTAACATTCACGGATTCTAAAAACCAGAGAGAGATCTGTACCCGAACTTTGGTCCCAAGTAAGGCTGACCAGTGATCTTATCACGTCTCATGTAAAGGTTTTGAATTTGGATACGGTTAGGCCAGACAGAACAGAGAAACTCCATGTCTTCACTCCCATCAGACTTTGAAATGTCAACAAGCAAGCTAATGTGAAGACGGACGTCGCTCCCTGAAGCATCTAAACCGGTTCTTGGAACAGTCACGAACCCATCGAACATAGTAGCTTCCATTTTTATGGTTTCGTCTTCTCCAAACCCCCCTTTCATCACAATGCATTGCTCACCAGGACGATCTTGAACAGTGAATGATTTGAACTCAGTCGCTGGCTACATTAATTATAAAGTCAAAAAACAATAATCAGTACGGAAATGATTTTTTTTCCCATTTGCTTGAATATTGAATAAAACTAGGAACAGAACAGTAACTAACTCTTGTCTTAAATTTTTTTTTTTTTTGAACAACATTGTCTTTGTTAATATCTCTCTCCCTAACAATATATATACCCAACACAAGTGGAATCTAAGATTAACTTTCAACCCTAAACCAATTAAACAATAAACCCTAAACCTAAACTCCATATCATAAACCCTAAAATGATTTTTTTCCCCATTTGCTTGGATATTGAATAAATGTCTAGTTCTTGATTTAAGAAACAGAACAGTAACTAACTCTTGTCTTTTTTTTTTTGAAACAAAACTTTTGTCTTTGTTAATATCTCAACCCCTAACAATAAATATACCCAACACAAGTGAAATCTAAGATTAACTTTCAACCCTAAAACCAATTAAACACTAAACCCTAAAAAATGAGATATACACCTGATGCGGGGGAGCATATTCCGATTGATACTCGATCTCGTTTCTTAGGATTCGAAGGAGGTTGGACCGGAAGGGAGACTTCGCCGACGGGATTGCTGAGTAGGATCGCCGCGAAGTAGTGACGTCACGTGATTGAGGAGAATTGCATCGAGACCAAGAAATTAGGGTTCTTGAGGTCAGAGATGGAGAATAAGGATGAAAAACGCGAGCTTTCGAGAGAGATCGGAGGAGAAGAGCCATGGTCGCCGTCGCCGACGTTAAGGCTCTTTTTGAGTAGTGTGTTTGATTTTAGGAAGTGATTGGGAGTTTCAATTTGAAACTAAACCGGAATTAAACCGGATCGGAAATACCTGAGCCGATTGTGTGTGTTTTTATTTACTTTAGTGGTAGTAATAGAAATAATAAATGGGCTTAAACTATATGGGCCTTTAAAATTATTAGTATTATAAAAGGCCCAATCGATGACTTGACTAGGGTTTCCTCTTATAAGTTAAAAAAACGTTAGTCGGGAGTTTCAATTTAAAACTAAACCGGAATTGAACCGGATCGNGACTTGACTAGGGTTTCCTCTTATAAGTTAAAAAAACGTTAGTCGGGAGTTTCAATTTAAAACTAAACCGGAATTGAACCGGATCGAAATAGCTGAGCCGATTGTGTGTGTTTTTATTTACTTTAGTGGTAGTAATAGAAATAATAAATGGGCTTAAACTATATGGGCCTTTAAAATTATTAGTATTATAAAAGGCCCATTAAGGACTTGACTAGGGTTTCCTCTTATAAGTTAAAAAAACGTTAGTCGCCTACTTCTACTTGTTTAGCTTCGCTTCGCAGCTGCACATCACACGACGTCAAGATGGTAAGCCTCCTCTTGGATTGTTTCAATTAATTGTTTGGTTTCTCTTTTTTTGTATTGAGTTAAGAGCTTTTGATATAAGTTAGAAAGTTGAATGAAAGTCTTATTGATTTTTTTTGTTATGTTGTTTGTGTGGGAAAAAATGAAATGAAATGGAATGAAACAGCCGTCGCACAAGTCGTTTATGATAAAGAAGAAGTTGGCCAAGAAGCAGAGGCAGAACAGGCCTATTCCTCACTGGATTCGTCTTCGTACCGACAACACTATCAGGTTCCACACTTATTATTGTTGTTTTTTTTCAGTTTTCCGATTTATCAGTGAGTTAGGACATAACAGTGAGTTCGGAACACTGAAAGTTTAGCTGTCTATGTTGATTGATTTAGGAAAGAGACAGTAAGTGAGTTTGTAAACTAGATATATGTAGTTGTCTAAGTAGGTTGATGTAGGGAAGAGACATTAAGTTAGTTGTGTATATGTGTTAATGTATGGAAGAGACAGTGTGTGAGTTCTGAAACGAGACATTGTTTATGTTCTAATGAGTTGGTGTTTTTTTTTTTCAGGTACAATGCCAAGCGCAGGCACTGGCGTAGAACCAAGCTTGGATTCTAGATGAAAGCTTCATCTAGAAGAGTCTTTTGTTCTGTTGGTTTTAGTATTTCCTCAAGTTTTATGGATTTATGTTGTGACATTTTGCAATTTTATCTAAGACTTCGTCTCTTTATTTTTGCTACAAAAATTTCTATTTATAAGAGAATTTCATAGCAGCTGTGTTATCTGATTGTTTGTTTATTGGTTGATTACATACCATCTTCTGGCAATTTAGACTCTAGATTAGGATCTAGTTATCTCAGTTATACTTAGTGATTGCTTAGAATCTTCCAAGCTTCTTGTGTCTGATCTGTTTTTGGTTCTGTAGATGTAGTAGTGTCTGCTTATTTTATGTCACAGATGATGTAAATGATAGAAAAGATTACGCTAAACACAATCAATAATTCTCTCCTCTGAACAAGTCTCATTCTAAAATTATGCAAATTCAATTGTTTCATTAGGTCAGGAAACAAGAAATAGGTAACAAGTATTGTGCGAGTTACCTTTATTCATTTAGCATCTCTCTCAATAAGTTCAAGAAGAAGCATATAATATGACTATAGTTCTTATTGTCAACTCATGGAGAAGACCATAACTCAGCTTACGTTATGGTATGAGTCGATGATAGCATCAGCAAGGTACTCACATTTCGCCATAGACAATCCAGCCAACGATATCCTCCCATCTTTAGTCATATACACATGCCACTTGTTCGTCATGTTATCACTCTACTCATTTCACACAAAAAAAAAACTTAAAAACCCGTTATCTCAACAAAGCCAAGAAGCATCACATCTTCAGCAATTAACCATACCTGAGCTTTGTTGAGGCCAGTGAATGAGAACATCCCAATTTGCTTCAAAATAAACGACCAGTCCTTACCACTCTTGTCTTTTGAAACCAAACTGTCATACAGCTTCTGTCTCACTGTCTTTATCCTCCCCGCCATCATTTCCATCTCTGCTTTCCACTCACCAAACATAGTTGCATCTCCCACCACATTAGCCACAATCCTCGCCCCATGAACTGGTGGGTTTGAGTACATAGGCCTAGCTATCCTTTTCAACTGGCTCTTGACCCTAAAAGAAAGTAGTGTTACTCATGAAATTTCTGTAAAATATAAGAAACTTTATTAAATGTTTTAGTTATAAAATTATTTTTATGAATTATAAAAATTAGATATACAAAAAGAAAAAAAAAATTAGAAAATTTTGTGCATTTGAACTAAGCTTGATTTAAAAGATTTAGACCAATTTAGATTACTTTTAACCGTCGCATAAATCGGATTTTAAGAAAATCGCCTATACCGATTTTTAGAACATTTGTTTTACCTTATAGCAGCATCAGCTGATGAGCAGACAACATTGATAGCACCAATTCTTTCAGCATAAAGACCCAAATTTTTACTATATGACTGAGCAACAAAAAACTCCATTCCACGCTCAGCAAACAATCTCACAGAAGCTGCATCTTCATCAAGGCTTCCACTAGCAAACCCCTGGTAATATATAAAGTGTGCATCAAAACTCTCTTGGAAAACTTACTCATAAGTGTTAGGAATGTGATGATACCTACCTGGTATGCAACATCGAAAAACGGTATATGGTTCTTCTCCTGAATGACATCAGCTATTTTCACCCATTGTTCTGGTGTTGGATCAATCCCAGTTGGGTTGTGAGCACATCCATGAAGCAAAATGAATGATCCTTCTGGTGCTTCCTTGATATCTTGTATCATCCCATTAAAGTCCAAACCAATTGTTTTTGGATCATAGTAACGGTATTCAGACCATGGAACTTTGGCATCATTGAAGATATTCTTGTGATTACCTGAATTAGTAGTTGTATTAAAACATGTTACATATGAAAGTGTTAAATATTTATGGTCAATGTAACAACACACCCCATGTTGGTGCTGATATCAAAACTTTAGCTCCAGGGAAGTAACGTTCAATAAGAGCCGCTGCTAATCTCAGTGAACCTGTTCCTGAAAGACCTTGAATGGTTGCCACCTGGTGATTAAGAGCAAAAGGGAAATTAATTAGCTAGGGAATAGAAAGAGAAACATGAACATAAGATTCAGACATACTTTTTGTTCCTTAATAACAGGATGACCAGCTCCAAAAAGCAGCTCAGCAGTGGCCTTGTTGAATGCAGCCAACCCCTCTATTGGTAGATACTGCAAGTTTTCATCCAAGCTTAAGTAATTTTTAAAGTCTATTCTAATAATCTAATTGCTTTAACATTTTCAAGTTACCTCTTTATTATCTCCTCTCTCTAACATCAAGTTCTCTGCCTAATAAAACAAAAAGTAAGGAGATTAACTAACACTTAATCTGACAAAGAGATTAAGCAATCTTCAAACCTTTTTAACGACATTAAGCACATAAGGTTGGAGCTCCTCAGTTCGATAAGCACCAACACCAAGATTAAGCTTAAGCTCATTAGTGTCAGCTTTAAATGCTTCACTGACTCCAAGGATAGGGTCTGGTGGTGCCATTGTTATACCCTCAAAACGAGATGGCTTCACTGCAACCGACATGGTCACACGACTAAGAGACTGAAACACCAAATGCCATTTTAATCAGACATGCTAATGCATATTAAAAACTACAGTTATTAAACAAAGTAAAGACACTAGTACCTTTGTTCTCAGGAAAGGGTTTAGTTTATTCTGTTTGAGTACAATCAAAGACAGGATTGTGAATAAGTAATCTCTTTAGACATCGATAGGAGAAAAAAAAAATGTTTAAGTAGAAGTAACCTTGTTAATCTGACGCGGTAACAGAGAAGTAGAACCAAGAGAGAGCATTGAAGAAGCCATACGGATCAAAAAGAGAGCTGCAAGAGATGCTAAGTCAGTGATAGTGAGACTTTTTAGTACGATGATAAGTTATTCAGAACATGGAGAGAGATATTGATTAGTTTACCTGAACTTTTGTTCCAACCGCGCTGTAATGAAACGATCAGATCGAGAGATTAGTGTTAGAAAGAAGAGTGGATCAGGAAACGATAAGTACGAAGTTAATTGTTCTTAGGCTTGTTCCTGAGAGAGGGTATAATGGTCACTGCATAGTGTTTAAAAGATCTAGAAAGTACAAAAGAGTTTGGATTCTGTCTGGATAGTGGTTGATGACTTTGTAACAGTTCAAAGCTGATATAAAATAAGGAATACAATAATTGTATGCTTTTAAAGAGTGAACACCCCGGAAAACCTATGTTCTCACGTTTTCACCCCAGAGTTCTTAGGTAATCAGATCAAACCCTATATATAAGCAACATTTGTTTGCTTTTAAGACGATGATGGTGTTGTTAACATAAGAAGTATGGAAGATCATAAGAGCATCCGTAATAGTGGATTCCATGGGAGTCCTTAGAAAAAATGTTTTTAAAGTTTTTAATTATTCTTTTTTCTTTTTTTTTTTAAATTAAAAAGAAAAAAAAAATACCAACGAATCGTGGATTGTCACAGGATTCACTAAAAATGAATTCTTATGTAAGGATTTTTTAGACCGAATCCTTAACTTGGTGAGATCCACTATTTATTTAATTATTATTTTTCTAAAAATTCTTCTTAAGAATCGTCATTGCGTATGGTCTAGATCCATAACTTTCCTTCCATTCATAGATAATTATTACAAAAAGACAGAAGAATGTTTTCATAATACAAAATCATATTTCATGGATGAATTTACACGATTTAATGAGTTAAAAAAAGAATCTAACATATTTTAAGAGAATAATATAATTACTGATACTTTACATGTGGTGTTGGGAGTTCTCCATTTGCTATATTGTATGTTGATTTCATTTTATCAATCTGGTTTCACAAATCGATGTCTATTTCAAATACATTAGTAATTGTAATCATAACTTCATGTAAAAGAATTAAAAGAGTAAAAAGATATTTGATAAAAGGCCAAATTGAGAGATTTTTGAGAAAAGTTTCTTTAACAAAAATATCAACGTTTTTGAGAGATTTTCCAACTAAAATTTTATTACTATTGGTGAGAGCTTTTCTTTTGAGAAATCCCAATGCGGATATGCTTTAAACAAAGCTGAGTAGGAAATGATTTTGCTTCTAAACGGTCCATCAACCAATCTTCTATCCATTATCATGATTCTTTGGGCTTATCCCCTATCCATACATTTTATAATTTACTGAGCTGCAAACCCATTTTATAACCAAAATCAAAACGTGACGTAAATGTTTATGGAAAATTTTAGATTAACGCCACAAAGAACGTGCACACGTTGGAGAGAGCGTTCAGAAACCACGAACTAGGCATGGGTAAAAAAACCGGAACCAAAGAACCGAATCAACTGGGACTCTCCACATATTCGAACGGTTCTTTTTTTTTAAAATATCCGTAATCGAATTGAAAACCAAAATAATATCTGAATATAATAATATTAATTTTATATACAACTAACATAACTAAATATATGATGTTAATTTAAAAATTTATTTAAAATATCCAAAAATAGTTGAAAATAAATAAATAGTTATAAAATATCCGAACTAAGGATTATTTATCCGAAATATCCAAAATTTATATATAAATCGTTCTAATTATTTGATATTTTATCCTAAGTAACCGATAATTTACCCGAACTATCCGAACTCGAACCGAAACCAAATGAGAACCGAATTTTCTAAGTGTTTTCTAGTTCCTAGTTTTACTATCTGAACCGAACCCGAAACTATCTGAACTGAACTGAACCAAAAATAGGTCAAGTAATAAATGGATCCTCTAACTCCCAAACCGAACTATCTGAAATCCAAAATAGCCGAATCGAATCGAACCGATATCCGAAACGCACAGGGCTAACACGAACCACATCTTCTTCTTATAAAACTGGTGTGGTCAGTAGAGTAAATAGGTTATAATACGAAGGGTGAGTTTTAAGGGACGTGTTAATGTCTTATGTTCGTAATGATGATACATGGACCCACGCCACGCAAGAGAAAGCAGCTGACTCAAATGAGAGACGCACATTCTATAATAAGAGTCGTCGTGGGATCCAATCACTCTCGGTCATAAAACCACTTAATAATTTTCATGCGCCTCTTTCACGTTAATTAAAGCTGAATATTAAGTATACTTTAAATATAAGTTTAATATTTTGGTCGACCACTTCTTTCATCTCAAACGTTGTTGTCTTTTACCTATTCCCAACGCTAATATTCTAGTTGCATTTTTAATTTAAACATATATAAATTCCTCTATCCATCTAAATTTTGGTGGAGAATAGTCGATATACATAGATGTCAATTTCATTAAAATAGATCGACCAGCTTAAGATGTACCGGATAATACTCTAAAATAGTACATTTAATATGGTTTTTAATGGTGGACCTTTAACCAAAACAATACAAAGTAAACGGTGTACGTAATCCACATCATAAATTTTGCAACACTAGGTTTAAGTATATATTGATTTTGATATCGTATAACAATTTAAACAAATGCAACGATAGATAATGAAGATTATACGTTTAAAATATTAATTTTCGTAGACATACACATGGTAAATTTTGAGGTTTTTTTGTGTCACTGTTCGTACCATTAAGACCTAGGTTTACGATGAATGTGTTATGTGTGTGCTGCCTCAAATATGTACATGGAGCATTTGTCAAATGCTTATCTATGTCAGCATGTCGTATAAAACGTTATCGATTGCATCACTTGCATTATGTCGTTGTTAATTAGTCATACAACAACAACAACAAAAACTGTTCATACACACAAAGTGCTATAAATCGTATGTTTGGTTCACATATTAACACGTTCGATCGCACTTACATATGAATCCTGTTACATTATAGAAATTAGATCATATCAACGTGTTACGTATTCCCGTTTAGCACTTACTTAAACAATTTTGTCAATGTTTATGAATGTTAATTAATCTACTATGAAATTTCGTCACTAATTATTATTATTATTATCATCTGGTGTTATCGTTTCATTCACTTTATTTTAATGTATAATTTTATAATTCTTACGAGTTACTGGGGAATAATATTATTTATGGATAGAGTATGAGTAAAGTTTACTCAAAGGTCGTAGCCAACGTTTGCTTCCAGATTTATTTACGTCTAATATATCTCTCATCCAAAACGGCTGCGTTTTCGTTGTCTGCTGACGCCAGCAGTTTCGTTAGATGACGTCAGCATGTTTTCACAGGGAAAAAAAATAAAGTTTCCATCTAAACGGTTCAGATTTGTTTTCTATGAATCCAAGGGTGGTTGTTTCTATCTTCATAAACCTTTTTTGATGTTTAATGGAGAGATTCATTCTCTGTTCACCAACTTCTTCATTCCATTCTAATAATAAATAAATAAATAAATCAAAATCAAAATCCTCTGCCACTTCTTAATGTTGGCATGTTTGCCTTTCCCTTCCCGTTTGCCTCATCAGACCAATCTGAGGATCTCTCGGTTTCATCTTCACTTTGGTCGTCTTTGACTTTCTTCTAACTTCACTTTTAACGTCCTCTCTGTCTGATCAAATCCACTCTCTCTACTCCAAGGTAAGGCTGATGATTAACTTCTTGATTAACGTTTATTTTGCAAAGATTTAATTTTTATTGGTTAGTTATTAGTTCATATATGCATGGTTTTAAATTAATTCAAAAGACCGTATATTTCGGAAGATTATTATGTGAATTGAAGATTTTAGAGTTTTTGAATTTGGAGATTTATTGTTTCCACGTACATGTATGCATTCTCTGTCTGATTTGAATTGGTTTCTCTTCAAAAATAGGAAAAAAAAAGCTTGTTTCTGATTTGAGAGTTGGTCAACGATGGAGTCAACGAAGGTTTGCATGAACGCACAGTGTGGATCAACCTCCACGTCAGGGGAGTGGAAGAGAGGCTGGCCGATGCGATCCGGTGAATTAGCCTCTCTCTGTGATAAGTGTGGGTAAGCGAAACTAGTAACTCTTGTCAATGATACTTGAGGAAAGTTTATGTTTCCCTTTTAAGCTAAGTTTTTGTTGGAGTTTAGGTCTGCATACGAGCAGTCTATATTCTGCCAAGTGTTCCACGCAGAGGAATCTGGTTGGAGAGAATGTAATTCATGTGACAAGGTGAAAGACAAAATAGACATGACTTAAAAACATGTTTTGATTGTTTTCTCTTAATAAGTTATTTGTGTTTTTTTTTCTTATTAGCGTCTTCACTGTGGATGCATTGCTTCTAGATTCATGATGGAGCTTGTAGATAATGGTGGTGTTACATGTATAACCTGCGCCAAAAAATCCGGATTATTATTCTCTGTAAGACTATATCTCACATCTTCAACCACTCGCATAGTATACTATTGTCCGCTTTGGAACTAAGCCCTTACGAATTTTTTTTCCGGGTTTTTTACTCTTCAAAAAGAGTCATACTAAACAGAGTTGGACCAAATATATATTAGACTTTCTTCGATCTAATATCTGATTAGTATATACTATTGTCCGCTTTGGACCTAAGCTCTTAGGAATTTGTTTTCGGGTTTTTTACTCTCCAAAAAGACTCATACTAAACGAAGTTGGACCAAATATATTAGACTTTCTTCGGTCTAATATCCGATTAGTATACTATTGTCCGCTTTGTACCTAAGCTCTTCGGAATTTGTTTTCGGGTTTTTTACTCTCTAAAAAGACCATACTAAACGGAGTTGGACCATATATATATATATATATATATATTAAACTTTCTTCGGTCTAATATCCGATGTGGGAATTGGATTTGCATATTTATCCTAACATACTCATGCAATCTCTTTCACAGATGAATGTGGAAACCAACGGTAGGGAGTTTCCTTCATTTACTTCAGCAGAGCATGTAAACAGTGTTCTAGAGAGGACTAACCTCAAACACTTGCTTCATTTTCAAAGAATCTCCCCTACACAACCTTTCCTTCAAATGAAACAAGAAGAGTCTCTACTTCCCGCAAGACTAGATCCTCTTAGACATGAGAAGAAAGAACCAAACCTGAGCATTTCACTTGGACCTACCCTTATGACAAGTCCATTTCATGATGTTGATGACAGAAACAAGACTAATCCTATCTTCCAGCTCGCTTCTCGGTCTAGACAACTACTTCCAAAACC